GGTAAGGATCTCTCTCTCTCTCTCTCTCTCTCTGTTTCTCTCGGTCTCTGTCTCTCTGTGCCGAAGGATTGAGGACCAAGCGATGGAGTTCGGTCGGAGGAGGACGGGAGTCGTCGGCTTGGGTAGAGTTCGGATGTGGGAAGAGGAGAAGAGCGAGAGCGGGACGAATGCCTCGTTTGGGTCGGGTATTTAACGACGCGAGTGGAGCTACGGATCGCAGAATTTGAGCAGGATTTCCGCATGATTTTTGGGATACGACACATACGGCGCCGAACAACGGGGGAGTTCGACAGGTTTTGCGGATCCGTCGGGCAATGTATGAATTCTGAGCTTCCCTTTTTTGTTTCCTTTGGATATAACATATAGGTCAACAGCTCTATTATGATACTAGCGGGATGTGCTTGTAGTTGTGTTGGTTGTATTTCCTTCCATCACTCAAGTGATGGGATAGGTTTGTAAAAGATTTTAGATATTGAATTATATTATTGATACATGAGTTTTAAATGATACCGCTATGATGTATGTTTTAGCTATTCACCTTAAAGGATATGTTATGCTTCAAGCATATTTTTTTAATATAAAACCTTAATTTAATTGAAATAAAATTATAAGAATAGAGAAAGAGAAATTAATAAGATTTGCCACAAAAAAAATTACATTGAACAAAATAAATATATAATGTAGTATAAGCACAATCAGTCTGCCTAGCTTGAAGCTTGGTGAAAAATTGATAGTAAAGATAATTTTTTTCCTTTTTAAGACCCCATCTGGTGAATAGGGTATGAAACCTTCTATCCACCAACACATCATCACTTAGAATGCCCCCATCATAATAATAAGAAAATGAGATATGAGCTTTTGTGTCTTCAGTAATAGGAGAGAGATGAACTTCCAGGGCAAGAGGATAAATAGCCATATTAATTGTAAGAGACGTAAATGTTGGATCCAAAAGAAGTAGCGGCATGCACGTCAGTTGCAACTTCCAAATGATCAGTTGGTCCCAAATTTTGAGAACAAACCTCCACTAATGAAAGAATTATAGTCATTGAAGAGGGGATGATATGATCATTTGAGTGAACTTCATGATCTTGAACATATGATTTCTTAAATATGGATGAGGCTTAAAACAGTCCAAGCGAGTGTGGTCAAAGATCATAAAGAAAGCATATTATTGAGGGATGCCTTCAACTTCAACCTTTTGCCAGAAACCACAGGATGATGCACCAATCCAAATCTCTTATGAAGAGATGTAACATATCATGAAAGGCTTGGTGATTAGAAGTAGTAGCTGCATCAATCTGCAAAGGTTTGCCCAAAATAGAGCTTAACAAATATAAAGTTGACTGGTTGAAGTAATGTAATAGTAATCTAGGAAAAGCCACTGAAACTAGGGTGATAAGTTTTCTTTAGAGGCTTTAAAATGGGGCATGTCATCCACATCAGAAAGTTGCTGACGTAGTATAGACAACGAGAAAAGAATCGGGTGTAATTTGAGTCCAAAGAAAAATTTGATAATAATATGAAGATAAATGAGACTAGTTGAAAATTCATTAATTAATTGGAAATATGACATGACTTTGCAAATGATATTGTTGTTGGGACTAAAATAGAATTATCCAACAATGGTGAAAGGAAAGGTTGAGCAAGTTTAGAGTTCTCAACATTAGTGAAAATAAATACATTTTTATCTTGGAAAGCAGGATCTTGCTTGTGCACATACGGATCTTTAGTTTGATGAAAGAATAGTGAGGATTGCAGGGATCTTTGGATTGGGCAACCCACCCACCACATTATCAAAGAAGCAAGTCGTACAAGTAGGAATCTCAGAGATGACTGGAGTAACCAGAGTAGGGGGCGACAAAGGTGGATTAAAGGGGACCATCGAAACCTAAGGAGCTAAAGGCGAAGGAGCGTTGGATGTGACCGAAACAATTGGAGCAGGGAGAGGCGAGGGTGGATAGGTTCATACTGTATATGGTTATAACAAATATTATGATCATTGTACCATCCATGATTTTATAAGTCAATATTATGACAATTGGTATGATTACTCTATAATCTCTGCTTTATGATATCAATGTTTCTTAATGTTATGACTATGTGATAGGAAACACTTGTAGATCTCGAGCATTTCCTATCAATTTTCGAAAAACAGCGAGAATTCTTCACAAAAATCCACACAAAATCACGAAAGCAGTCAATAATTTGAATTATTTGATGAAAGGGAAACAAAAAATAGCAATATACAATTGATCCTCTATTCGAGAGGAGGATCGATTTCTCCCAAATCTCTGGATGCTGCTAGAGCCCAAAAGAAAACCTAAATCTAAGTGATCTCAAATTTCAACCAAATTCAAGATGCCCTAAACCTAGGAAAACAAAGTATTTAATGCATACAAATCAAAAGAAAATCCTAAACAATCCCTAAATTCGAATTCCCTCCTAAACTTCCTAAAAAAACCTTCCAAACAAGCTCCCTTAGCTCCTGCGGTGGGATCTGCAGAATTAGAGGCGGAAGATTTCCGCCTATGTGTCGCACGGGCCGGTACCGCAGGACCGGCTGGACCGGTCTAACAACATGCTGATGCTATGAATAAGATTTCACATGTCATGCTAATTACCATGATTATGACATCCATTGCTATGGTTGATGATATTTCAAATGACATGTCAAATGCTTATGATTATGTCGTCCTTATGAGATGAAATGCCTGTTTTTACATGTTCATTAGGTTCCTTCTTAGACATGTTTGTACTTGTTTATGATGCTTGGTTTGTTCTGTACATTTAAGTGTTTATTATGTTCAGAGTGTTTTCGATTTTAGTTTGATTTGTTCTTTGTCCATCGGGAGATTTTGCACTCGACCGAGGCCCATTTTTTTTCCGAAGGTGATAACATTTCAGCATGCCAATGAAGGATTTTTCTTCTTAACTTTTCATTTCATGTTTTTTAGAGTGTTTTCATTTTGATTAGTCTTCGTGATATGGTAGCCTCCAATTTTGTGGTGGTAGCCCGATGGCATTTCAACAGCATTTTGCCTTGCAAGTTTCTATTTTTACCCAAAATTTTATAGTGCTTTAACATAGCCCACAGGTGAGGGTTGATGGGAAGTTTGCTGACCAAAACTTGCCGAATTCATAAGGTTGCAAATAGGCTATGCAAAGCAATGGGGTGCATTTCGAGAACCTTACCAACATGTAGAAAAGGTTGCATACGGTTTATGTTTTACCATAACTTTACTAGGTTGTTGGACATCCAACAATCTTGTGATCAAATGTCTAGTCATGGAGACTGAGGCCTCTCCACCATGTCGATGAAGTCTTGCTTGACTTTCTCTTTGCCAACACTTCAACTAGATTAGTATACATTTGTAGTTTCCGTGGAAGATGAAGGACGAAAAAGAATGTAAAACGGGGAGGAGTGTGCCTTATTGCTGCATGCATAATTGGTTTTGCATGGCGACATAGTTGGTCTCAGCTCTACTGGGCGATTAGAAATCCAACAAAACTCGTGGCCTTCCATGGAGAGCAAGGGCTTTAGGCTTCCTTAAAGGGAGGAAAGCTTGACTTTAGGAATCCTCTTATACCTAGTGTTGATGTCGTAGTGAAGTTCTATGGCTATAGACTCGAAGTGGTGTTCTGGTAGGGCTTATATGTGGTCTCTTATCTCTTCTTGCTTGGCTCAAGGTATACCCAAATTTTGCTACTTAACAGGTCAAAATTGGTGGTTACTATGCTAGTCGAAAAGTTGACTACCATTTGTCATTTTGCTGGTCATTTTCTATAATTTTGACATTATCTAGGGGCTTGTGGTACCTAAATACCTCCTCAACTCAGGGCCACACCAAAAAAATATCAATTTGGGTTCCTCCTTTGGTTTGCAAACCTAGGTGATTGAGGCAACCTGGAAACACACCTCCGAATTGTGAGCTTGAAGCACAATGTTGGTGCCTAGTAGTTCATCAATAAGTCTGCAAACCTAGGTGATTGAGGCAACCTGTTAACACACCTCCGAATGGTGAGCTTGAAGCACAATGGGGTTGCCTAGTAGTTCATCAATAAGTCTCCATAAGAAGAAATCTATGGAATTAATTTTTCGTTTCATGATGCAAGTACTGAATTTTCCCTTGAAGAGAAGTTATTACCACAATTTAAAATTCCCTCGTGCTCTCTGATCTTAAGATTTGTTTCATTTTTTATTTCAATGACATTCACTGGTTCATGCATAAACTGCCTTTTAAAAATGTTTAAGCATAATAAATTTGAACTGATCTTATGTTTTGGAAGTCTGTATTTAGAAATGTTAAATTGATAACTGCCAAGCATGCCTTGCCATACAATAATCTTTACATCTGTAAAAGGCATCTGTTTTTACCTATGATGCACAGACACGGACACGGCGACACGGATACGACAAGACACATAACACATCAGTTATTGAAAATATAGGACACGGACCGGGTTGGACACGGTATTATAGTTTTTATATTTAAAAAAAATAATTTTAAAAATAATTTGAAAATAATAAGTCATTTAACTAGAATTTGTGCTTAAAATGATTAGTATTAGGATGCTGAAAGTCAAGCGTCGATGTTGATTATCAGTCCGAGAGAGGAGATGAAAATACCTTCACTGCAAAAAAGAAATGAAAATGAGAATATTCGATGATTGGGTGTTAAGTGCGGACGTTTATTTGGTGTTGTGGATAGAAAATAAGAAATTTAGTTTAAATCCTGTCAAATACAAGAAATTATATTTAAAAAATTCATAAAATATTTAAGATACGCGTGTCGGACACGTGTCCAATTTGTATTTAATATTTTTTAATCGGACATGTTTTCGGTGTGTCTGACACGTGTCGGAAGAGTGTCGGACGAGTGTCGTGTCAGATACGATGTCAGACACTGCACGCCTCTTTGAGGAGAAGTGTCGGTGCATCATAGGTTTTTACCAGTTTTCTTTTATTTGATCCCACTACTTTCTTACATTAATGCACACAGGTTCCATGTCAAGTATGATCGGGTTACCATCAGATCACGCTCTTGCAGAGGACGATGAGTGTTTGAGGTAACCATGATTTTAGCATAGCTGAAATTTTTTAATATGGAGATGATGCATGATAACACCATTAATTATGAAAAATAGCTTGTTGATTTGTGGCATAAATCAGATGTCAAATAACACTTGGGCTAAAAAACTTGAGAAGTCCCAAGGAAAAGTTTCATGAGCATGGATTGGATTATGTCATATGTCCTAAATGCCAATATTTTATCAGGTTGCTTGAAAACTTGATAGACAAGAAAAGAATCCCTCACACAATGCGTCAATCTAACACTTCGTGAATTTTTCTCGGGACCTCCCAATCGAATATTTTCTGCTTTACCAATCTGCTCATCATCTATATTGAGTTCATATACGCAGTTTGAATTATCATCTGCTTTCTTGAAGAAATATTTATGCTGTGCAAGTAACTTCGTGTAAAACTAGCTGTTCAATTTTTGACAAAAAAGCTTATTGATGTAGAGATCATTAGAAGTCGCCGTTGTTGGTCTAAACTAGTGGCTATTATTGGTTTTAAATCTTTTGTCTGAAAATTTTGAGCTCAAACCATCAGAAATTTTTCAATGTTGTTATGTTTCCGCCAGGTTCAGTTGGTAACTGGGGCGAATCTACCTAAAACCGAGGGGGGCAATTGCCCCCGCTAAAAACTAAAAAAAAAAATTATTATATAACTTTTTAGGTAATTTATCCCCTGCTATCTATTTTTTAGTCTTTATTACAATGATTTTTAGGCAATTGCTCATCCTAAAAGTTTTAAAATATTAAGATCTTTAGGCAATCGCTCCCAACATAATTAAACATATTATGTAGAGGTGCTATTGTTAGGGAGTGATGAACCAAATACAAAGAGAAATAGTAAAGAGAATAAAAAAAATATTCTTACAACCAAAATTTGTTTTGGAGGTTGGTTCTCTTGGACCCCAGCATATCTGCGAAATCTCTACACTTTTACTTATAAATTTGCGCCCCCCCCTAATAATAATAATAATAATAAGGTTGGTTCTCCCCTGGTTGGTAACCTAACATGTCTTGTCATTATCTTAATCTGCGCAGGTGGATCAAAGTTTATGCAGCTGATCAAGTAAAGTTTTTTGATGATTTTTCAAGCGCCTATGTCAAACTGGTAGATTCAGGTGCTGTGTGGAGAAATGACAATGTCTGATGCTACAATTGAGTAATAGACAGATGATAAATGAGCCGAATGAGCTGGTTGATGAAAAATAATAATAATAATACCTTTTTTAATGATAATATATGTTCATTATCCAGCTCATTTGGCTGGTATTTCAATCTCCGATTTTCAGCAAAATTAACATTCTAGATTTGTTTTTGCCTTAGTTTCTGTGTTCATGCTGTAACTGTGGCTTCCATATTACTTGCCTGTAGTTTTTAGAATGTACAGTTATGCACTATTCTTTTAGAATGTGCAGTTGTATTATATTCATTTCATGTTGTCTTCATCGCATCTACTCTTTGGCTGATTGAAAATTTGATTAAATTGAGAGAAGTGAATTCAAGTTTGGAATTAGTGTGAGAATTTATGGCAGAAGAAGATTTGTTTCTCCTTAAAAAATTATAGATTAGAATTACATATTTTGATTGTTGTTTATCATTATAAAAAAAAAAACATTTAGTTATGAATTGTTTCAGTTATGCATGCATCTACTGTCTGGCTGGTTGATCAGTAAAAATGGAAATGCATGAATTGCGATATGACTTTCTGACTGCTTTTTAAAGCAACTTTATAGTATGATAATTAAAATTTTTTAACAAAAAAATTGCTTTAAGAAATAGGACTCCGTGTGATTTGGAGGACAAGATTTTTTGGTCAGTCTAAGCACAACTCAACATGGCTAACCTTTGACTTTAAGAAAAAGGAGTGGCTATAAAACTAGAAATTGATCAATGCGAGTGAGTTGTGCTTAGACATTTTGTCAAATTGCACCTCATCTAGGAAGGAGCTAAATGATGTGCCTGGCACCTTTCGATTCATGGAATATCATCTGGGAAAAATTATTGTGTGGACGCCGAACGTTTTCGGATCCGGATTCATCATGTCACCCAATGTACAGTACGGTGACATGACAGCTCCTCATTGGCGTACGGACACGTTCGAGTGCATCCGCACGTAATAGTCTCTTGTGATTTGGGATACAATGGGAGTTAGCCTGCAAGTTGCACACAAATGCTAAAATTATCTTAGCAAATTTACCAATGCGGCTTCTGTCAATGTAAAGTTATTGAAGTGCCCTGCAAAGTACCAACACTTGTTGAATTCTGTAAGCACATTATTTTTCCACCTTATATCAATTATATTCCTTTGTAATTCAGATAATTATTTCCTTGCATCCATCAGAACAAAAATGGATTCAAAATCATTTCTATGCCAATTATCATAATAAAAAAGAGAGAGCGTTTGTAAAAAACATGCTACTTATAGAGATAAATGATAAATAAAGACTTAGATTTGGTTTGGGACGGCTTTTTTACCGCTTCTTAAGACAATTTTTTAGTATAAAAATTTTAATTTTTATCCTAAAAAATTATTTTAAGAAGAAGTAAGAAAACTGTTACAAATTAAGCCTTAATAGTGCTAAGTTAAGTAATTAACAATTCTAATTTAATTCAAATATTTATTACAACTCAAAATAAATTCAATAAAGATCCATAAAATTCCCACCTCTGCAAACAGATCATGTCCTATGAGTCGAATATAATAAAATAAAGGAAAATTTACATACATACCACTTTATACCATCTTATTTACATTTTTAATATCTAAAATTTTAATATTACATACATACCATCCTATCTTATTTTAATATCAAATATGAAACTCATATTTTCTTCCTACCACTCATATATTTCATTTATATCACTCATATTTGATATGAAAATGAACTATGAGTGACATGTATGTAATATTAAAGTTTTAGATGTTAAATATGTAAATAGAATAATATAGAGTGGTATGTATGTAAATCTTCCTAAAATAAATCGCTTCATACAGGAAAAAAATATCAAAGAGAATTTCATGCAGAATCTTAAGATCTTAACATGTAGAATGTAGATGCAGATTTTGGAGAATCTACCTGACAGGCCTGTATGATCTTCCTTTCCCAAGCCTTTAGTGGTCTCATCAGTTGCAGGCCAGCCCTGTTATGATCAATAAAAGCCATTGAAAGAAGCTCTTCTGAATCACATCACAGATATGAATAGTATCAAATAACACTTCTGATCTATTCGGTGAAGTCCAAAATAACACCATCCTTATCTGACAGCTTTAGTTGTTCTAATATTAGTAGTAAAGCTAACATAAGAATGAAATAGTAATGGAGCATTTTATTTCCTATAATCACAACAAAACTGTACATGTACTCTTTACCAGTAGCTTCAATTAATTACAAAGAGAGATCCATTACTTGGTATTTTACTAACTAGCAGTTACTTCCACCCATACAAGCTCGATTCTACTAACATTTCTGAATTTGGTAAACCAACCAGGACCAAAATTACACAAGATATTATTGCTCCAGTTTTAGCTTTAGCAGCTTTAGTTCTTATACAGTTGCAGGAATCACTTCCTCTTTCGCAGTCCTCTCTTTCTATCATCGTCCCTCCCTTCCCATGCACTTCCCCAAAAGAAGAGAGACATCCAGAACAGAACAGCGAAGAATATGCGTAAGCTATCCTCTGCTTTTGAAAACATAGCTTGTAGGCCTATCCACAAAAATGAACAATAAGAACACAGATAATCGGCTATAATTTAAAATATACTTGTAGAAGATAATGCTCAGTGTCAAAATAGAGGGTTCTTTACCTGTAAATAAGATTTCGATGAATGAGGGAATAAATTGGAAATTTACATGAGAGTTTATAATAGAATTCAAGTTAATTAACAAGAAATTATACTGTGCAGACACCAGACGGAGAGAACCGTTCGGATTTGTTGCGCTTTTGTTGCCCTTTTGATGTGTTTTTGCAAAAGGGCAACAAATATTTAATTATGAATGCATTTTTACTGCACTTTTGCTTTTTATCTTCTGCAAAAGCGCAACAAATATTTGATTATTTAATAAATATTAAATATTTGCTGCATTTTTATTGTCCTTTTGCAAAAGCGTAGTAAAAAGGCAATAAATTTATTACAAATGATAATTTTAATTTGGCTTACTTTGTTCAAATGGCTCTCTATAATTTCCTAAAGTAACTCTATCGCATGTACGTTTCACATCAGGTTCTCTCCGTTCGGTGTCCGCAAAGAATAATTAGTCCAAGTTAACAAGTGAAAAGGGGGTGTAAAATAACCAGTATTGGATTGGACTGTAAGACGTTTATGCTGCTTATTTGGCTAATTGGGCAGACACAGAAGCTCAAGCATATGCAATCTTGTTTATTTTTGTTCCTGAACTTTTTTATTTTGTTTACAAAAAGTAGCTAGATCGAAACTTGATAAAATACTCAAAAATATGTTAGCAGCTCATCTATAGTACATTACTAAAAGAGAAGAGGAAAGTTGTGTAATCAGTAACCATAAATCTACGTTTCTAAACTGAAATTTTCTCAACTTCAAAAAAGTTCTCAAATTAAAATGCTGAAATGTTAACCGGCTTCTAAAATTCTGCTAGTTTTCTCACTGCCCCACGTCCTCAAATTCTCTCCTCCACAGCTTCGCATCCAGATCTCTTTGAAATAAGACCTTAGAGGTGTTTACCCCATCTTTCACTATATGTAATAAAAATAATAAAATACTTACCCAAATAATCCCTACGTCATACTCATGCATGTATGCATCTCATGCTTAAGATATAAAACCGATGGCTCTCCTCTCATGCGATCTCTTCTCCACTCAGGCATGTCATCGACCATCTCCTGCCTCGCCGCCACCACCTCCTTGCAATTTCTTCTTCCACATGGATCTTTTCCTCCACAACATCCTTTCTCATTAGTTGACATGAGAGCTGAGGAAATGACGAAACTTACATTTATCTAAAATATAACAATTGTGAGAAGGTTGTTGAAGTGTTACAAGAATGAAAGAGCGCCTTTTTGGCTCTCACAAGAGTATTGCATCATGCGCTAAGGTGTATGAGGAGTTGAAAGAGGAACAAGAGCATATATGAAGAAATGACATCGAAATTTTTAGTACAAAAACAATTTGATGATATAATAGATATTTGTTCTTATTATGAAAGTGGGCCAAGCGGTAGAGCTACCTCATCTTTTTTGCCAGCAATGCCATATGGAGGTGAAAGGGGGCTGATGGATCAACACATGAATGTGGAAGATGCCAAAGATGAAAGAGAAGGTACCTCAGAGGATGTATTCTAAAAAATATTGAAGAGGCATGTGGGTGTGTTTGAATGGATATTGGAAAGTCCTTTATGAAAATATCATTCCATTTAATGTGGCAACCTTCCCCTTTTACTTCAACATGATTTGTTTCATAGGTCTTATGGGGAGGCTTGAAACTACCATCTATGTATGAGTTGAGAACTTGTGTTTTGAAAGTGTTGATAATCATGAAAAGGTAATTGAGAAGATTAGAATGAGTTGAAAGCAGACTTTAGTGGAGATCATGTTCGATGGTTGTTCATAGAAGTTTAATCCATATTCTGATTAACAATCCATATGACACTACTTCTTAAAGTATGTTGAAGCATTAGATCAAATCAATAATGTGATTTTGGACTTTTTAATGGAGTAATAGACGATATTAGGGAGTATTTAGTGGTGCAAGTTATGACAGACAATGCTAATGCTTATAGGGCAGTTGGAAATAAGTTGTTGGAGAAGAGTAAATATTCATATGAAAAACACCTTTTGCGACATACTACATAGATTTTATATTATAGAAATTTGATGGCTTGCCTCAGCATAAGAATGCCTTGAATAAAGCAAAGAAATTACATAAATTCATATAAAATAATTCATCAGCCTTGGTTTTGAAGAGAATTTTTTGAAAAAGGAGATCCTATGGCCTACTACAATGAAATTTTTATCGCGAGACTTGTAAAATTGTCAAACATAATATTTTTAATTTTAAATCCACTATTCTTTCTGTAATTGTTAACCCTGACATTTAAGTACCTTTCAAAATTCCCAAAATTTCTCGAGCTAGAAGATTTCTCATATTTATTGATGATTTCACTCAGATGATATAGGTACATCTTAATCAAAGCAAAAATCTACTGTCAATAATATTCTCCCTATTTTTAGGGTCATAATACAACAGCACAAAAATAATTTCATGCTAAAATCAATGAATTTTAGATTGATAATGTATGGATTTCTTATCATCCATCAATCATTCTTTCAAAAAGATCTCATCCACTAATCTTCCTATCCTGACACTTCTCAAAAAGATAGTTGACAAAAAGAAAAAAAATCACCATCTTCTAAAAATCAATAGGACTTTTTTATTCTAAAATCAAGTGCCAAAAAGATGCTAGAAAGAAGCTATCCTTTCATATACCTAATCAATGAAATATCATCAAGAGTGATTGACTACAAAAGTCCGATAAACTATCTAGTTATATTCTTCCTGATAAATAACTTCCTCTAAAAAAAATTCTAAAAATTTTTGAGCGTATTGCCTATGTCCACATCCACAAACAACAAAGAGATTGATCCAAGAATGTTCAAAATTCAGATGTATCTTTATTGGGTATTCCTTCACTCAAAGAGTATAAATATTATTATTCTACCACGAAAAAGTTATTGAATTCAAAATCACATTTGATTAAAAGCAAAAAAAATTTCAATCAAACTCATATATAAGTAGAAAAATCTCAACTGGAAGATAAGTTTGATAAAATTCTATCTTTGAAATTCCTATAATACAAACACCAAAAAATTTAGACACTATACCCATTAAGTCTAAACAAAAAGGAATAAGCCCAACCAAAAACTTTAGGAAGCTCGAGGCTTCGAATCATTATCAAGTAATAATGATCAGCTCATGATTACATATTCTCTTCTATATCCCATCTTCTAGTACACATCTTTTCAAAGTTTATCTTCTGCCTTACAAAATTTTTCTCATAAATATCATCTCTAACTCCATTAAAATACTATAAATTCTATTTAAGTCACTTGAAAATAAGAATTGAAATGGTGACATCAGAGAAGAGATGAATGACCTAAAAAATAACACTTGGAAACGTTAAACTGACAAAAGAGAAGAAAATGGTAGAATGCAAATAAATTTTTTTATAAAATATATAGCATGTTGTAGTAAAATTTTTTAAAAAATTCAAATAATTCTTGAGAATAGATTTTGCTCAATCATAACAAAGTATATTCCTCTCTAAATAAAAAATATTTCATGGATCTACTAAATGAAACAAAATTATTGATTGAAATATTGTAAAACCATAAATCGATCAAGTTGTTAGTCCGATCCAAATAGAAAAATGAATTCTCGTTGAACCAGTGAGAGCCGACTTGAACCGGCTATTTAACCGAAAAACCATTGAACCAGTTTCGATTCGGTTGAACCAGTTGGCTCAATATATATTATTTTAAATTTAAATAAAATCTTTAATATTAAATTTTTAAATTTTAAATACATATTTAAAGGGACATGCAAATAAATTTAAGAAGCTGCTAATTTGCCACATCATGCAACTTTATTTGTTACTTGTGCTTTGTGCTTTATCCTATATATAGATGTTAACCTCTGTACAAAGAAACAAAAGCAAAAAAAAAAATCTGTACGTACCTCGGACTGAAATCCCGCGAATCCCGCCGAAGTCCCGCCGAGCACTGTGCAGCAGCGCCGTTCCGAGATTTCTGCCAAAATCCCGCGACAGCCTCTCGATCGCTGCTCCATTCACGTCTATAAAAAGAAGGCCAAACGATGCCTTCTGCACTCGACTCCATTTCCCATCCCCGATTTTCTCTGTTCTCCACTACACACACGACTCCCTCCCACTGCTTCCCACTCTCTCCGATCTCCACTCGACCGAAGCACCTCCGACCTCTTTTTTTTTTTTGGCTTGTAGTTACCTATTTGTAGGGGTGTCAAAAAGGGTTGATAAGTTGGGTTTGAGTCTGATTCGAAATTGACCCAACCTAAATCCAGTCAATTCGAACCCGACCCATTTAATAAATGGGTAAAAAAAAAAACCTGAATGGCCTAACCCGACCCGCTAGCAACCTGAATGACTCGAGCACGACAAATTAACCAATTTTGGTTATTTTTAAACTTATTAACTATTAAATTTAGAATATTTAATAAAAATAATAAGATTATACCCACATGTAAAAAATAATTAAGGTAAAAAATTTTAAATAGGTCATTTTCGGGTAAAAAATGGGCTCACGAGTTAACCCAACCAGACCCATTTTATAAATGATCCAAAAAAACAACTCAAACCCGACCCGTTTATTAAACGGGTCGACCTAAACCCGGATTTTCGGTCAAGATTGCGAGTCGGGTCATTTATTGACACTCCTAACTATTTGAACTACAAGTCAAGAAAGTTCTTCTTTATTTTTGGCTGAATAAGAAAATAATTTAGCATAACATTCTTTTGAGGTTCAAATTTGTTTAAGGTTTTGAGAATATATGTATAGCGACGCTTGCTCCCTATATGCAAATTGAACCTATGTATTAGAAGCTGCTATATGACAAGATTCTCCAACATGATTTATGTCAAGGAATGAACATTGTTTAAGCCCTTGTCGATATCAAATTCAACCCTAGTCAATGCAATGGTTAGCAGGGTAGATAATAAAAGCATCTCATCTACACATTGTTAAAATGAAACTAGCATCAACAAACAGAACCGTATGCTGAACAGTGTCAGAATTCTTGATGCGTGTGATCAAACAGAAATGCTTGATTTAGCAGACACAATACTGCAATAATCCTTCTACCTGGTTTCCAATTTGATATAACCCAGCAAGTCTAAAAGTATCTAAATGAATATAACATCCTCCATTAATTCTTAATAAAAGCACCAGTTTGGTTAAACTGGAGAGACATTTCATGAAGAAAATCTATCATGCTGTGGTTATCAATTTGTAACCAGCATGAATGAATATGATACTGATAAATGAAACCAAATGTTATATTTTACAAGATGTTCTTGCATTTTGTGGCTGAAAGCTTCTTCGCCGAATGAGTTGGATGGCATTGCAGAGTAGATGGTCCAAACATTTCATAGATAGATTACACAAAACTTAATCTTCCTGTTCGTTTTGTCTGTTAAGGAGCTATATTGCTAACGCATGCTGCAGGGGTATGGTGTTTCTATAGCTATAGGGTCTAGATATGCTGTTGGCTTAGTGTGCCTCATTGACGATGGCCGGCTGGGTTCAAATTAATGCTGCTTTCAAGAAACACAATCACATTAGTTGGGTTTACATTTTATGATCTTCAGCTTTGTAAATATAAATCTTTAAAAATCCAGTCTGTATAAACACTACACTAGCTTTTTCTGACATATTAAATGCAAGTTTTTTTGTATTACCATCAAGAAAATGATTTCCTTCAACAATTTCTTATTTATGATACAAAGAAAGTGCATTATCTCTCTCATATTTATTCTTTTTAAAAAAATCCACAGTTCTATAACCATGCCAACAGCTTTGCTTTACATAAAAGCAAAGAGTTGTAACAATGGTGTCAGTTTCAGTAAGCATGATAATTGGCATACTTTATTGGGACAGTTACATATATATCCTCAAATTTTGGTATTATTTACAAAACTTACACCCTCTCATCTCTATTTTTTTACCAAATAACCCCAACCCATATTTTTTTATTTTGTCAAATTTCCAACAATTTAATCGTGGCATGCCAATGGATATGGTAGTTAAAAAAATGCATAAGTGCAAGTTTTGTAAATAGATGAGATTTGAATATTATGTATCTAATTCCCCCTCATTAATTTCAATAACATTGTGTTATGGCCACAGAGCCAATTGTCTTGCATATTGTCATTAATTAGAAAGCCAAAACTTAACTTCTTAGGGTGATAGAACATCTACTCTCAAAATAGAGCTCATTATTTCAGTAAATGTATACTCATCAACATAAAAACTTAAGTCAGTGGGTAAAGATCATTAATAGTATATTATGAACTCAACACTTTTTTTTTTCAATATGAGATTGTTTATATATATATATATATATATATATATATATAAACAATTTATCTTCCATCATACTCATTAATTAGAAAAAACAAAAACCCAATTCTTAAGGGGACGGAACACAAAGGGTTAAAATTGAGCCCAATACATTAGTAAATGAACACTCATCTCAACAACAACAACAACAACAACAATCAAGCCTTTGTCCCACTACGTAGGGTCAGCTACATGAATCTTTTTTCTCTGTTGTGCTCTGTTAAAAGTCAAATTCTCAAATAAATCTAATAAAAAAAGATCATTTCTAATGAACACTCATCTCATTAAAACAAAATCTTAAGCTAATAGGTAAAAGTTAATGCAATTATTTTAGGAATCCAAATCTTATTTTTTTCTTCAATATGAGATTATTTTCACTCTTCTATGCATCTCAATAACATCCCCCCCCAATGAGAATTCTCCAAATTAACTATCACTCCCTTCAAATGGATGTTTTTTTTTTTATATCATTAAATGTCATGCAGCCCACTTAACTATGTGGAGTTGAGAGATTACACACTCTTAAACCTTGCTAATCATAATAAAAGCAATCAAAATTCATGCAGCGTAGTAGTGCGAGCCCAAATTAAGCATAAAAAATTAATAGATTGGCACCCATCAACCCAAAACACTAGACACAATAGACGAGAGCTTAAATATAACAAACTCATTTATTATTATTTTTTTTTTCTTTGATGTGAACCTATTTCCACTCTCACTTAAATCTCACACCAGGAACAAGAATAATTGAAAGACAAAAGCGCTTACCGGAAAAAAAATTCTTGTCTTCCTCAGAGGAAGGTTGTGATGGAGGTGGCCGGGAACTAGCTCTAGTTGAAAGATTACGCCGCACCTGGAAATTCCGGTTCAGACTCAGAAGCCCAAATGGGGCAACAGGAGCACCAGTTCTAATGACTGCAAGGAAAGGAAGGAACCGAGGAGCAGCAGAAGAGAACGAAGGCTGTAGGGCAACGAATGACACTGCAGGGGCAGCCATACGCTGAGGCCTCCTCTTATGTATTGAGACGACTCGGGATACTAGTGCTACAGCAACTTTACAAATCTGCAGTAAAATGGAAATAAAAAGAATAAATTTAAAGCTTTTGCGTCCAATCAATGCTAGGGTTATGCACAAGGAGTGAGAAATCAAACGAAAAAGGTAGGTATAAGTGATATTGAGGGAGAATCATGGGAGAATATTTGCAAATTTCAGTCACAAAAAAGTGAAAAAAAAAAAACATAAATTTGTTCAAGAAAATTAAGGGGAGATATGAAGGTTACAGCGAAGACGGGAGAATGCTGAGACCCTTACAAAATGGTGGCTGTCGCTGAAGCCATCGGTGTTCACCGCGTCCTTGGCCCTAATTTTCAGTTTACTCAAAATGTTTTTTTTTTTTCCTTTTATTTTTAGAATGATGTGGGAATAAATTTCATGGGTGACCATTATGATAGGATCCAAATCACCAATCTTAAGTGATGCCCTCATCTTGTTTATTTTTTAATATCAAAAAGATAATTTTATTTCAAACACTAAAAAGGAAGATATAAATAAATTCATTAAATGACCAAGCCAAAATTACAAAGCAATAATCATAAAAAAAAAGAAACAACAAAAGATGGGAGGGCAAAAGCCAGCTGAGCTCAGTTATTGACAAGAAACTATCTGCACCATCCCGAAGCTAGACAAGATCCATCCAGATGATGAAATAAGTAACAGCCGACACAACGCTAAAGGGTCAATCAAAATCTCATAATCCATACAAAGGCCACCAAACAGAGCAAGAGCAAGAACCACCAATGGTTGCCAACAACCGATAGTCAATCAGGTGAGAACATAAAGTTGTCACATCATTGCCCGGATCACAAAATACAAATTAAAGATAGAATCCAACCCAAATGAAGTAGATCTCAACAATGGTAAAGAAGACCAAATCCAAAGAGAAAATCATTTCTTTTTAGATTTACGACGTCTATTTTCACCACTCAAATTAGAGAAATCATCATTAACAATTTGGAGAATACTTAAATCATAATTATCATGAGAATCCAATTATTTCACATTAATTTCTCCCCCACCATCATAAGAATTATCATCATCTAACCAATCATTATGCATCACCTCATGATTCCTCGATTGACACATTAGATGAATTCATAAAGCATCATTGGACATAACAGAAATCGACATTTCAATAAGTGGCACATCAATAAAACAAGCCTCAGCAACATGATCAAAACCATCATGAAAAGAATCAGAAAAATGAGAGGGATCAGCCAGAGCATTACTAATCTCACCCCGAACAATGGGCACTAGCTCACTCACATGTGGAACAACCGCTCAGTCACCAGGCACAGCATCAAGCTCGCCCACATGTGAAACAACCCCACTATCCCCACACACCCGCGAATAGGAACATCAGAAACAGTAGCTCCACCATCACATACATCACAAACCGTAGCTCCACCATTAACATTAAAGTCAGGAGTACCAATAGAACAAGCTTTAGCAACACCAACATCAGCTGTCGTGGAGTCGATGCCCTCATGATGTTGCTATCAATGTCAACATAAAATTAGGGCTTCATTTGACTTACAAAATAAAGTTAATTGATCTCGTGCTTGCAACTCATTGGTAGACACGAAGACATTCTTATTGGTGGCTCACATTCGAAGCCCCTAACACTCCAAAAATAAGGTTAATTTTGTAAAAAGACAAAAATGCAAGCCTTATCTCATTTTTTTATCATTAGGTCAGCTCATTACTTGATGCAACATAGGAATCCATTCTTAAGCATGTGCATGATGGTTTATTGCCTAAAAATCAAGTTGAAATAATGGAGGATTGGATTTGTACTCCTCAATGACACTGATTAAAGGACAATGAAAGTGGGATCTTATGGGATAGAATGATATATTATATGTTTATGACACTGTATGATGGTTATTGAATTGGTTGAATGAGATAAATGGTTGTCCAAAGCTTAATTTAAAGTGGTTGAGAAATGAAAGGGGAAAAATGAAAAAAAAAAATTAAAGATAAATGAAAGATCTCACCAAAGACATTTTAAAAATAGGATCGGCCACCAAGCTACTTCAAAGACTTGCAAATAATTGTTAATCCTTCAAGGATCTATCATTTTTACATAACATTTGAATATATAAAGAGTTACATAACATGATATTTAAAAAGCCTAAACAAAGCAACCAGTGGTTGACTATGTCAATTATGTAAGGATTTAGACCCACTTTTCATTATGATATTTGAAAAAAAAGACTACTAGGATGTTCAATCATCAATTATTTAGAAGGAGAGTTTTAGATAAAATAAGCATATGAGGATTTCCAACAAGGGAAGGTTGACCAATGAAAATTCGGAAGGAGAGTTTTCACTTAATTTAACACATATGGAACATACTTAAGCAGATGAGATTGAAGGAGAATTTTTATAATACTCTTTATATAATATTATATGAATAATAATATTATTAGCCTTCTATATAATGAGTATTTGTGTCTCGCCCTAAGATCTAAATAAGAAGAATTGTCTTTTTTTATATTTACATTTACAATCATTAAATAATTTCAAACACTCAATTCATCGACCATTAAACCAGAACATGCAATTTCATAGGAAAAACGAAAAAAAAAAAAAACATCATTTCATTTATATGTATTCAATGTGTATAACTAATATAAGCCCAAAATGATACATATACATTAGTTATGACATACAATAAACTAGCTCATCTTGATGAACTCATGACTATAAAATAGAAAGACTAATAGAAGCTAGAACACAACTCATTCTCTTGCTTCCTTACCTTTCCCTAAATAATATGTAAGAAATCACATAATGAGTACTACAGCTAGCAAGTTATCAATATCTACAATTGAAATCAAAACATATATTATACTCAATCATATTTGTAGCATATTTAATAACATAGTGGTCAAGAGTAGCCAGTTTTGTCTATCATATCATATTAATCAACATTTATCACTCTTATTCTTATTATCCAATGTTATTAAATGTTATTTGGATTTTGGGCACATACATCAATGTCATATTATCTATTAATGTATTTATGTATCAATGTATGAATCATCAAGATATGACATCTAGCTTTAATATGATATTTTCATCGATCATTCCACCCTAATTGTCCCCCAACTAGTCATCAATCTTTAATTTAACCCTAATTATCGATCAATTGATCATCGATATTTATCTTATCATCCTTATTTATTATCTTGAGTCAATTCACATCTGACTTTTATAATCATTTAAGAATTGTCACTCTCTACCAGTCGGCATAATTTTGATCAATCGGTTACACACTACAGCCAGGATTACACTACTAACATTTTATTTAAAAGAAAGTCTGTCAATCCACCATCATGTACATTGTATTATGTTTTAACAGCCAACTCATATTAATCATAATGTTAACAGTCATTTTTATTTGCTTATATACGAATGTCACATTCATCTTGTAGCAATAATATCATTTCATCTATAAATGCAATGATGTATAAAATATCGAAAATTTAATAAAATATGCAATATTTTAAAAAATAATATTTAGGATGCAACACCACATGCTGAATTCATAATTACTGTAGAACAGAGGCTTCATTAATGCCACCACAACAGTTTTTAGCAACACTGTGCTCTCAAGCTTAGCGTCGCAGTGCTACAAAGCATAGTGCCGAAGTGCTCTAGTTCATACATAAATTCAAATATATCATTTTAAGATACTTTACATATTTTGTGTTGTTACAACATGTGTCCGAATGATGCATACAATTATATCTTTACAAGAGGTGTATTAAGGTGGATTATCTCAGTAGTGAGTGAGAGAGATGATATATATATATATATATATATATATATATATATATATATATATAAAAGCCCTAGATAATGTTTGATCGGAATCAACAAGCATATTTATAAATCTCATGAGTAAGAACTACTCAAGGAGGCCACTCTTTATTTAGAATTTCATTTGCAAACCTCTAGATAGTTTATCAGAAACACTTCAAATAAAGGATACTACCATACAAAGTTCCAATGCACATCAAACAATTATGACTTCTTTCCAATGGCGTGTCACCAAACACTTTATATGTAGTATTTTGATAAAGAACAACATAATCTCCAATGGCCTTTAACATTTTATACATGGAAAATCTCTCTAAATGATGTACCACATGATGCGATTCATAAATAAGCATGGATCTTATGTATTGGATGAACTCTTTTCAAGGAATTTTACACATGTATTTTTCTTAGTAAGCAAAACCATAAACATTTTAGGTGCATATGTTGACAACAAATAACATAGCTTTCTCATGCTCTCTAACAACCTAGACATAGGATTTTAAATCATTTATAAAATAGAATAAGTAATGACAAATCACCGGTTCCACATACACAATAAACAAATAAGCTCACCCTCCAAATAATCATGAATCAACATATTCTTTTGCATACCATTCTTACTAAAGTTAACATAACTATCGCGGGTGTATTTGCTAATAAACATCACATTCTCTATATGACTTGTCAAAAGTACAAAAGAGGCGTGACCACTCTAATTTTTCACATAAATCCACCCACATATCTTTGTTAGTATATACTCATGCATACATGATTCAACTCAAAGCATGTATTTAAACAAAGCAACTAGAGTAAAATAGACAAAAGTAGCTTGTTTCTTTCAAACCCAAGAAAGTTCACACTCCACCGAAATAAAGTAAATGTCATTGATGCAATGGCTAAGGCAAACCCACATATGAAAGAACCTTTGTACATGAAGCAATCATTTTATGTAACCCCTCTCAAGCTTTAAAAGGGAGATGGACTATGCAATTATCACACTTTTAAAGCACATGACATTCACCTACAAGCGTTGAGTTTAAACTTTAAAGAAGAAACACTTATGGAAGAAAGATCTAGGGCTTCACAAATATTTCATCAAAGAATTATATGCATTTTTTTAGATTCCCTTTTTTTCATACTCTAGACAATGTATTAAAGAAGGTTATACAAGAACAATTCACCATACAAAGCCTTAATGCTAGCAAATACCTATGGTTTTCTTTTGGGAGCATTTCATCGAACATTTGATATGCAATGTTGTAAAGTCATGTGAAACAAACTAACATAAAAACAATGGTTCACACCTAAATCTCAACCAAAACTCTCTAAATAACTCACCAAAGTATTCTCAAAATTCATATCATAATTACTTCACTAAAAAGATATATGTATAGGGATAAAAGAACAACCTAAGGGAGTTTCATTATCAAGTTTTATAAATAAGAAGAAGAGGAAGAAGGAAGGAAGAAAATGAGAAGAAGAAGATGATAATGAGAAGATGATGAAAGAAGAAGAAGAAGAAGAAAGAAGCAGAAGAGGGA